AGGATTTGAGCAGAAGGTCGAGAAGAGTCGCCCGCAGCTGCGACACAAAGAGTCAGATGCCCTCCCACACTCCTGCCCCCCCCAGAGTGACAGGTGCCCTACCGCACTCCTGCCGCATCCCTGTGTGTGTCAGGTGCGTCCCCGTGTGTCAGGTGCGTCCCCGTGTGTCAGGTGCGTCCTTGTGTGTGTCAGGTGCGTCCCTGTGTGTCAGGTGCGTCCTTGTGTGTCAGGTGCGTCCCCGTGTGTCAGGTGCGCCCCTGTACCTCCTTCCTGTCCTCGAGTCCTTCCTGGTCCTTCTGGTTGTTGATCATTTGTCCCACCGAGCGCAGCAGCGTCCCCAGAGCCCCGGGACTCAGGTCCGACTCGGAGCGCAGCAGCTGCACCGAGTCCTGCACCAGGGCCCGCACCTGCCCCAGAGACGAGAGGCCCCCAGGAACCTCCAGCACCTGTCAGACACACACAGCACCTGTCAGGACACACACAGCACCTGTCAGGACACACACGCACCTGTCAGACAAACACAGCACCTGTCAGACACACACAACACCTGTCAGATACACACAACACCTGTCAGGACACACACAGCACCTGTCAGGACACACACAGCACCTGTCAGACACACACAGCACCTGTCAGGACACACACGCACCTGTCAGACAAACACAGCACCTGTCAGACACACACAGCACCTGTCAGGACACACACAGCACCTGTCAGATACACACAACACCTGTCAGATACACACAACACCTGTCAGATACACACGGCACCTGTCAGACACACACGGCACCTGTCAGACACACACGGCACCTGTCAGACACACACGGCACCTGTCAGACACACACGGCACCTGTCAGACACACACGGCACCTGTCAGACACACACATAGCACCTGTCAGACACACACAGCACCTGTCAGGACACACACAGCACCTGTCAGACACACACAGCACCTGTCAGGACACACACAGCACCTGTCACACACACATAGCACCTGTCAGACACACAGCACCTGTCAGACTCACACAGCACCTGTCAGACACACACAGCACCTGTCAGGACACACACAGCACCTGTCAGACACACACAGCACCTGTCAGGACACACACAGCACCTGTCAGACACACATAGCACCTGTCAGACACACACAGCACCTGTCAGGACACACACAGCACCTGTCAGACACACACAGCACCTGTCAGGACACACATAGCACCTGTCAGACACACACAGCACCTGTCAGGAGAGAGTTTTGTGTCATGTTTTTGTGTATTTTTGGAGAATTGTCGTGTGGAAGCTTGGGGGGCGGAGCCTTGTACAGACTCTACAGAAGGTGGTGGAGTTTGTGGAGTTTGTGGAGTTTGTGGAGTTTGTGGAGTTTGTGGAGTTTGTGGAGTTTGTGGAGTTTGTGGAGTTTGTGGAGTTTGTGGAGTTTGAGGAGTTTGTGGAGTTTGTGGAGTTTGTGGAGTTTGAGGAGTTTGTGGAGTTTGTGGAGCTCTGGGAGTTCTGGGAGTTCTGGGCGCGGTGAGTCGCGCGGCGAGTTGGACCCTCACACTGACCTTGGCCGTGACGGCGCCGGACGCTCTGAAGGCGCCGTTCTTCGCCGTCACGTTCACCGTCACGCTCCAGTTTAGCCCCGCCTCCCCCAACGGCAGGAAGAGAGACGAGACCGCGCCCCCCCCACAGCGAAGGGTCCTGCCTGAAACAGACGGGAGGGAGGGCATCTGACACACTGAAGGAGAGAGGGAGGAGCAGGAGGAGCAGGAGGAGCAGGAGGAGCAGGAGGAGGTGTAGAGGAGGAGGAGGAGGAGGAGGAGGAGGTGTAGAGGAGGAGGAGGAGGTGTAGAGGAGCAGGAGGAGGTGTAGAGGAGCAGGTACCGGCGCTGGTCTTGTAGCAGTACTTGCAGCTCGGGGAGCAGCTCTGGGGGGACGAGCAGCTGATGTTGAAAACCTGGAGGATGGTTCCAGACGAGGGCGACACGGAGCAGAAGAGCCCAGAAGAGGAGCTCGAGTCTGGGCCAGAGGTCGAGGGAGGAGTGGGCGTCGGGCTGGAGCTCTGCAGCGTCAAGGAGACGAACTGAGGAACTGGATCCTCTGAAGAACACGAGAACATGAGAACATGAGAACATGAGAACGTGAGAACATGAGAACATGAGAACACAAGAACACGAGAACATGAGAACATGAGAACATGAGAACATGAGAACATGAGAACACGAGAACATGAGAACATGAGAACGTGAGAACATGAGAACATGAGAACACAAGAACACGAGAACATGAGAACATGAGAACATGAAAACACGAAAACGTGAGAACATGAGAACATAAAAAAAGAACATAATAAGATAAGAACTGCAGGAGGAGGAGGAGGGTGGTCTCACCTGTCGTCAGGACCACCCTGAGCACCTGTCCTCTCACCTGTCGTCAGGACCACCCTGAGCACCTGTCCTCTCACCTGTCGTCAGGACCACCCTGAGCACCTGTCCTCTCACCTGTC